GTGCCTTTGCCTGAGATGCATACAGAGCACATGATAACATTTTTAAAGCATATATGGGTAAACTGAAGCAGACCTGAATCCATTTGAGGATCCTACATTAAAATCTGCCGGGCGGTGGTGGCGCACGCCTTTAATCCCAGCACTCGGGAGGCAGAGCCAGGCGGATCTCTGTGAGTTCGAGGCCAGCCTGGGCTACCAAGTGAGTTCCAGGAGAGGCGCAAAGCTACACAGAGAAACCCTGTCTCGAAAAACCAAAAAAAAAAAAAAAAAAAAAAAATTTACTGTATCTGCTACAGGTTACTGAATTTTGCAAATAAAAATAATATACAAAATAAGAATTTGTATGTGAACATCTAAAGCAAAGTAATTTAAAAGCAGTTTATGAGAAATGAATGTTGATTAGGAGATTAACATTATTTGTATTAAATATATACTAAATACATACTATATATGATATATACTAAATTGTTTTATATAATATCCTATATTATATATATCCTATAAAAAGTAATATATATTAAAATAACAACATGTGATTCTTAATCGAGTTTCCTTAGTGGTGGGGTTGTCACTTGTTAATTATTAATTTGGGGATTTGTTTGTTTGTTTGTTTATTTGTTTTTGAGACACTGTCTCACTCTACAGGTTCTGGCTGTCCTGAGACTCACTGTGTAGCCCAGACAGACCTGAACCCACAGAAATTCACCTGCTTCCCAAATGCTGGGATTAAAGGCACATGCCACTCTGCCCAGGACTCACTTTTATTTTTTCCCCACATTGATGGAGATGAAATGCAGAGCCTTGCACATGAGGCAGTATCCTACCTGAGCTACATCCCCTGGACGCTCTTCAGTTCTCGATGATCACAGTTTTATGTGGAACTTTGCACAAATGATAAAAACTTTAAACTACTCTTCAAGCCGTACCATCTTAAACTTGTATTTTAAAAGATAATAGTTTTTTTATTCTCTTTCATGGTGAACAATTTGAAATTTGGGGATTAATGCAGTTTTTTTCTCAAAGGATAATTTATTTATCAGGACTAATATAGACATGATTCCAACCTACAGCAAGTATTCCAAAATATCAATGGAATGCTAGCCAGAGAGTGCACAGGGACAGATACACCACGCCCAGTTTGGATGCCACTGAGCCAGCACACAGACAGGAAACAAGTTTCTGATACATTTTTTTTTTTTTCGAGACAGGGTTTCTCTGTGTATCTTTGGAGCCTGCCTTGGAACTCACTCTGTAACTTGCAGAGATCCGCCTGCCCCTGCCTTCCGAGTGCTGGGATCAAAGGCATGGGCCACCACCACCAGCGAAGATCTATCACCACCCAAGAAGATCTTGAGTCTGCTCTGTAGAGCAGCACTTGCCAAGGCCCCGTGTCTTATTTTACACCTCACCACTGGCCCCCCAGCCCCCAGCAAGACCCCTGTGAGCAGTCACACCTCGGATACTCTCTCTGACAGGTAAATCGGCAGCGGCACATTCTTGGAAATTGGGTGTATCCAACATGGAGCGCTTCATGGCATCCCTTGGGTAAGCAGGGAAGTTCCCTTCACGCTTTCTACCTGCAAGACAGCAGTAGGAGTCAGGGGTGAAGCATCTATCTTTATTCTGCAAAGATGCCATCTTTTTGATGGGCAACATGGCCACAATGGTAAGTGATGCCAGGGCTGTAGTCACCCAATGGTCTAATGGGATCGGTACCTCTTTAATGGGGAAGTCTTCATTTTAAAAACCATTTTTTTCATTCACACTCCAGCAGAGCACACAAAGAGGAAGAAAACTACTCATCACACTTGCAGCACTCAAGAGCAGCCACTGTGAACCATTCAGTTCACCTCTTTCATAGTAAAAAATATCACCCCAAATGATTATGTACTTATTTAAAATCTTGTATCATCTGTTTTCACACACCATTGTATCCATTTCTCCCACGTAACTAAAAACCCTCTCCAAAATGGCCAACACAGCATCATCTGTATTCTTTTCCTCAAGGAGAACTTGGATGAGGAAAACAATTGTATCCATAGATATGGAAAGTAAAAGCTACTGGATGCTCATCAGTCTGTCTAGGAATAAACATACCTGATTTTAGTGAATAACTTTGGATGGGTTCTTTCTCAAAGTAACAGGCCTCCTTTTTTATGGTGAGGCCAGAACGAAGCCTCATGTAGTAGACATGGCAAATTTCTTTGGTCTTCTGTTGGGATCCTAACAATAGAAAAAGTGTAGATTTACGTAGGTCATATCCTATAAATATATACAGCATCTCCAACAGAGCCTGGAGTATCACTACTATTTGCGTATAGTAAGGCATAGGATATGTTATACAAAAGGAAATGAAATCTTGTATTAGTTACTTTTCTCATTATTGTGACCAAACTTTTGGCAAGAAGCAACTTAAAGGGGGAAAGTATTAGTTTTGCTCATGTTTCTGGTCCTTTTTGGAGGGAAAGGCATGGCAGTGGGAGGCTGCCTGCTCACATCTCAGCAGACTGTGAATGGTGGTGTTTAGCTGTCTTTATCTGTATCCTTTTTAATTGGTTCTGGATCCAGGCCATGGGATATTGCAGCTGCCCATTTTCAGGGTGTGTCGAAATTAATCCTTTCTGGAAAATGCTGTCATAGGCATACCCAAAGATATGCCTCAGTAATTTCAATCAAGTTGTCATTTGAAATTAACCATCACAGACCTTGGGATTTAACAGACAATAGGCTGGGTTGTATTTTGTTGCCAAATAAGTTGTAAAAACACTTGGGTCTTTAGAAATATTTTTATTGCTGTTTTCAGAATGCCATTTGAGGGATCATGGCTCTGCATTCAGTATGCATCAGTTGTTGGCTAACTGACGGGAATGTGAACATCCATAGGAGATTTGAGCTGTTTTTCTGCTTGCCTAGAATAAACTTTTAATAATTTTTGGAGGGTGTCTGAAAACTATAAAGGGTATTGATACTAAAATAACGGCCGTTAACCAAGTATCAGCCCTAGGCCAAACACTCTGCTAACTAATTGTATATGCCTTTTAACTTAACCACTCATACCAATCTTGCAAAGTATTATCATCTTAGTTTTGCAATGATAATATGAGGATGTTAGGAATCACAACACTGCCCAGGGTTACATGGCCCGTGAGTTGTGCTAAGGGGTGTGTTAAATGTCCCCACAAACTCTTGTGCTTGAACACTTGGTCCTAACCTGGTGACACCCTTTGGGAGGTTGTGGAACCCTTGGGGTATAGGGCCTTGCTGATCTACATAGACCACAGGGGCCAGCCTCTCTAGACTATAGCCTGGTCCTCCAGTTCCCTCTTCCTGCTTGGTGCCATAGGAGAAGCTGCTGTAAGCTGTGGCTGCTGTAGATCAAACTGATCCAGCCTCCATCCATGTCATGATGGGCTGTACATTCTAAGCCATGAAGCAAACGGAATTGTCTACCTTTAAGTCACTTTTGTAAGGTTTCGGCCATAGAGATGCAAAAGTAATTACTATAGCATGTTTGATATCAAAGCTGTTCATTAGGCTCTACCTCCACTGACGAAAATGACCACAGGCCAGATGTGGTCATGCCTCTAGTCCCAGCACTCAAGAGGTTAAAGGAGGAGGAGGGTCATGAATTCCCAGATAAGTCTGAGCTACATAGACTCTTATTTGGCCAGGGTGGGAGGTGGGGGTGAAATCTGCCTCGCAACCTAAGAGACTAGCCAAATGCAAATTCAATCAACCAAACTAAAAAAAATCAACCAGTTATTCAGTAATCCTGATTTTACTTAGCCAAAGAGAAATTTAAGTCTCATGTAGAACATTTCATTTGTGTCTTGGACATCATAAATAGCCTTCCAGGGTCACGTAACATGTGACTTCTAAGATCTCAGTATTCAAAGTGAGCTCTGGCACCAATGTCAGAAATTCTGGCATATCTACTCCATAATGCAGTATCTATAAAGGGCCCCATTTTCTGGGTACTAAGACAGTGCATTCTTTAATATGGGGAAATTTGGGCATACCAAGTCACTTCCACTGAATCATTGTTTCTGCACAGAGCATTTTGACATAGCTACGAACGAAAGGATCAATTAAACTGTGATTTCCTGGACATTCAGAAACCATTGTCAAGTTGGTTTTTTAAATCCTACCAAGAAGTGGGTGCGTGGGTGGTTCAGAGCCTCAGGGAGGACAGAGGGGACATTGCTTTTTCTTTAGGTCATTCATCACGTTCTAGCTTCCTTCCAGTCCACCAGAGCTCTGTTAACTCTCCTTGGTGGTCACTATTCCAGTGTAAAAAGTATGCCGCACATATTCAAGATCCTTACAGCCCCTTCTCCTCACAGGTGTACCTGTCCTGTAACTTCATTTCTCTTTCATCGTGTTCCAAACATTTGAGTTTGTAATTAGATAATTATAGTTGGTCCATTCTTCTTTATTTGGGGGCCTGGGCATCTTCATTTTTGAGTCTATCTTTTATCAATAATCAGTAAATCAATACACCAAAGGTCTTGACAAATATGTGGACTGAAAGTGGGTCAGTTTAGAGATTTGTCAGTTAATTAGGGGAAAGGTTTTGGGGATTTGATGGCAGGAGCTGTGAGAAATGTGAAGGGATTGATGTAAAAGACCATATTTTACTAAGTTACACTCATCAAAGGTCTAGATTCTCTAAGCCAGCCTATCCCGTGCTGTACCCAGTGACAAGAGTGACAATATAAACTCTTCCAAAACAAGGCTTCTGTGTCCTCGGAGCCACCTCTGTTTCCTTTCAGTTCTTATATTCTTAGGCACTTTTGGTAAGGCAGCGTGTCTGAACATTGAAATAATAAGTATTTGATAATAGATTTCCAACAGTGTGTAAAACAGGAATGCCGGCGCTCTTACTTCTTGGCTTGCAAGGTTTTACCAAGGCTTTTCCAGCTGCGCTGCTCAGCTTTGCCGGGGACATTTTGGAGGTTGAGTATCTCATTGTAGGTCCCATTTTTCAGGTTTCTGTGGGATTAAAATATAATATTAGTCCAGCTATATGTACCTGAAATCACCGGAAACAACCTCCTCAGCTAACTCAACATGAAATTGATAGCCACACAGAAAAAGTAAATAACTGAATTTGAGCATAGTATTCTGACTGTGCACTATGGGCTAGAATCTAGCCATAGAATAAGAAAACAAAAAAAGCACAGAAAAATCTCAAGCTGAGTAGACTTATTGTTAGTGGCAATGTTTGTATTGAAACCTTAGGACAGTTTTGTTGTAGTACATAGTTATAAAAAAATAAGTAGCCACACAGATGTTGCATGGTTTTCACTGTAGGGGGAAAGAGATAGAAATATGTAACTCAGAAGCCAAGACAAAACCCGTGCAATGTTAAGTTTGAGTCAGTATTAAATGAATGCCCAGCAGCATGTGCATGCATCTTATTTTCTAAACATTTTCTCCACTTAAAGGAACCATGACTCCAGATATGGGGCCAGGTTGTCTCAAACCCTATGGGAGCCACCTTGGAGTTTCTGCCTGTCAGATTTGGCACCAGCTGAATATTTGAAAGAGTAATGATGGTGATCCGAATAAGCATAGTTTCTCAAGAATAAAGAAAGAGTAAGATTGCTGATTTTCTCTGCTCACTCACAAGTTGGAAGATCAGGGTAACAAAGGAGAAACTATATTCCAAGGAGACAGAGTGGAAAATCACTGGGACTCAAGTGGTGGGGGGTTTAGCTAATATGCATGGCCAAAGAATAAAATAATGCCGAGAAGTAGGAAGCCGTCCAAAACTCCAGCCCTGGCTCCCTGCATGGATGGAGGAGGGGGAGAGGGGCTGGCTGGGAGGGGTCAGGAGGAAGGGCAGCAGCAATCACGTGGCCAGTCCGGATTTGGGTGGCCATCATGAGAGGAAAGGAGCGGCGGTGGTCACGGGAGAAACCCATGATTGACAGCCCAGTTCTCACAAGCGTTAACTCCAGGGCAGGAATTTGGTCTGAGGTGAGTCCCCTCTCACTGCTGCCTTAGCCCTAAGGAGCCATCTCCTCACTCCCCGTATCCTAGAGCGTTGTGATCAGGAGCTACCTTCAAAGGGGGTCTATTGTTTGAGACTGAGCAACTCTGGCGATCAGAAAATACAGGCAGGTGACCAGTCAGGGTGCCTGGGAACACTCTGCCATAGTGACTGTCCAGGAGAAAACCCTGTAAGGAGAGGGGACGACAGATCCACTGAGAACTTTCGGTAACCCGGAGCCTGGGCTGTGGAAGGCACGGCGATCAGAAGTCCTGCCCCCTTGTGGCGAGGACTATGACCTGTGGCTTGAGGTTGTCCCCGGAGACTGAGGCCTCCAATCCTGCAGCGGCAGGTTTCTGATAAACCAAGGCAGGCTGATTGCCCTCCCGTTCAGACAGCAGTCCGTGCTCCGTTTGCTCTTCACGCTCAAGTAAACTGGGTGAACTTTTCCAACTTGTGGATTTCAGAATGAGGCTCTCCGGAATGAATGGGAACCTGCCCAGCCTATAGGATGTAGAGATCAGCGTGGGGTGCAAAGGTCCCATAAACGCAAAGGAAGAAAGCCTCTAGACTTTTATTAGAGTCTAGAGCAAACACAGCCTGGATGCAGATGAGATGCCCTCCACTGGACTCACGCCAGCCTGCTTAGCGGGAGCAAATTCAAACCCACTCCCCTCCCCACACAGCCCTGGAAAAGCGCTGTCTCCCGTTTTATTGTCCTTTCATTTAAAACTATTATTTATTATTTTGAATTCTAATTTTTATTCCTCTTCTAATTTTATCTACTTCTTTTGTATCTGAGTTTTAAATCTCTTGTTATCTTTCTCACATTGTTTCAATCTTAACACGTCTTTTCTCTCTTTTTAAAATTTTTAAAAATTAAAAATATGATTACATTATTATTCAGGCAAATAGAACCATCTGATTCTGGACAGAGGTATCAAAAACATGTATTGGAAAAAATGTAGCCTTAAACATTTTTACTGGGAAAACTGGATATCCACATGTAGAAGAAAAGCAGAAATCTATATCTTGTCTTACACACACACACACACACACACACACACACACACACACACACACACACACACACAAAATGAAACTCAAAATGTTATCTATTCTCTTTCTCCATTACCATCCTATCTCCTTTCTCTGTTCAGACGGGTTAAAAATTAGCTACTCTATAAAAGTTACCGCCCTGAAGTAAATGTAAAGCCATTTACCTGCATTAGGTAATAACCGTGGGGAAGGGTCCATGTGAGTCAGAACTTGGAATTTTGTTTTAAACGTTCTGCTCTTTTTATACTCAAAGCCAATGCCCAGCTTCTTTGAAATAGTAATAATAAATTTCTGAAGATGTCAGCATAAGGCAGAGTTCTCTGAAGAAGCTGTATCTGTGTGAAGTATCCCAGACTCTTCTCCTTGGGTGAGCCAAATATTGTGATTATGGAGGGATGTAAGATCAAGAGCCAGGATTTTCTCGGACCGTCTTGGGCTCCACTTACTTTTAATAATGGAATCTGAGTTGATGCCCTCAGACTGTGTTGTTTGTGTTTTCGAAAAGCTAAGGAGCGGTAAGATAACATACAAAACCTACAAAGAAAGATTTCCTCGTTTTTCTGTGTCTGACTCTCTGCTTATGACTAATGCAGTTGTTGCATATATTGGTTTATGACTTTCTTGGTCCCTTGCCTGCAAACCTTCATGTAACTGCTTTTGCTTAGGAATGCATCATTTAGGGTAACCTGAATCCATGCTACTGAGCTATAATCAGTCACCATTGCTAGCTTAGAATAAACGATTTCCTTTAAAGCAGAGCTGTAACTTTTACAGAATAGTTAATTTTTAACCCTTATGCATGGGATAAAAGGCTAGGTAAACATAAGGTTAGCTTTTCAGTTGGACGGAACATAGTTTAAATAGCAGCCTGTACCAGCAGGAATTGAGTCGGTGTGAGCAGAATGCATGTTGCCCTTCTGAGCTGCTTCAAAACCAGTGATGGCTTTTGTTTGCTCTTTCACCCAAGAGTACGTGTGTCCTAGAAACAACGTTTTTCTAGTCATAAAAACTGCCTTTTAAATACATTTGTTTGTTGCGGTCTGTAGCCTATTTTCTTGGAGAGTTCGAATTCATGTTAGCACAGTAAAGACGACATAGCCCCTTCCTGAAGCGTCGTGCCTGGCTTTGCTTTTCTCTACTTTCAGTGATTATCATAACCCTCTCTTTCCTTCATCACTCCCGTGGACTAGCTTGAGCAAACGCATGTTGGAAGCACTCTGCTCTGAAGGACCACCCGCTTGCGGAGTTGAACAAGATAAGAAGTCATCAAACTGGAAAGTCAGCGTCATTATTAGAATTACAAAATCCAAGGTTTGTAATCCAGAACTATTCTCAAATCCCATTGTGAAAAACAAACCACTCTATTTAATAACAAGCCTTTTATCCTTTATATATCAGAACTATTTGAGAGCCTATAAACAGTACTGTTTTCTCCCCTCCATAGCAGAGAGCAGATATTCTTGTAGGTTGATGCGGCACTCACCTCAGTCGTGGCAGGGAATAGCTGCTCTTGGATAACGTGCGTTCCTGCAGTCAGCACTTGCTGATAGGCAGTACAGTCACACTCCAGTTCTATTTATATGGTTGCTCAGATTAAGCAACGTAGGTGACAGTAACTGAGGAATGAAGCTATGCAAATAGAGCTAATCTGAATGGATTAGAATGTGTGGGCGTGTAGCTTTTTCCTACAGACAAATCCCAACAGAGCAGCACGTTCAGAGTTATACTTAAGTACTAATTTTTTTTTAAAAACATAATCTTTAAAACAGATGCCCAGTGGTGCCTTTTCTGGAATATATACAAGGGAACAGGTTGTCTCTTCTGTAGAAAGTTGGGTTTTCTTTTTCTAGGTAATTTTTTTTTTCTGACTGTAAAAATAATGTGTGTGTTCTTAGGAAAAAATTTTTAAAAAAAGTATCAGTGCTATCAATTTTTTTCCTCAATGTGGAAATGTTACACATGCATCGACTTTCAATTAGAAAATAGAATCATACTGCAAATATTTTGTGAACCACCTTTTTGCTCTCTGAGATTAACACTGTACCCTGGGTGTTTCCTGCTTTCAATCACATACATCGATCTCTCACCCATCCCTTCTTGATTCACAGCACACTGGCTGCTTTCAGGCTTTTCTGTCTGCCTACCATTAGTGTTCCAGCTGAAGGGGGGGTAGGGACAGTGCATAATTCTTAGAAAACTTTGAGGTTCATTGGTAACATACGCTTCATAAAAGTTGAATTTGCCGGCTCAAGAGGTGCGGCATTTGTTTACTTACGTATTTATTTGCAGTTATTCCCATTGCAAAACATTCAGTGTGTTTTGTGAGCATGGTTTTCTTTCTTTTTTTTTTTTTTTTGGTTTTTCAAGACAGGGTTTCTCTGTGTAGCTTTGCGCCTTTCCTGCAACTCACTTGGTAGCCCAGGCTGGCCTCGAACTCACAGAGATCCGCCTGCCTCTGCCTCCCGAGTGCTGGGATTAAAGGCGTGCGCCACCACCGCGCGGCGGTTTTCTTAATATGTAAAATCCCAAAGGAAAAGAGAGGAAAGACCAGTTTAATGGCCAATAAAAATGCTCGGGACCAAAAGTAGTGAAAAAAAAAAGCCAGGGTCATGTAGTAGGACAATACAAAATGCATGAAGCTGAATACAGGCTATCCACACACTTCGTAGAGTCCTTGGGGGTCAGTATGAGGGACTCCATAGCTCCGAGTCTTAAAACAAACCGAAGAAGGGCAAACTGTAATCCATTCTAAAGTGCAAATGTGTAGTGTGGCCTCCTTGGCTTTTAGAAAGTTACATTTAACAAATATTGCATTCTCACATTTTAGGCTAAGGACTGTCAGCATGAGCCCATGGGACACAATGTGAAATTTTCTTTTCCCTTTGTTGTATTATCTACATCTGGTCAACCAGCAAATCCTTTCCTGAAACACCTATGTTCTCTTAGGTGTCTGGTGACCCCCTTTACTGACCAAAGACGTTGACGTATTGTCAGAATGTTAATCTGAGTGCTGACCTTTCTTTTCTTAGTGAGAATCTTACTTTGAAAATGTGTTGACTTGGATAGATTTCCTGTAACCAATATTGTTAAAATGCAAGGTTTTTAAGAAAATTTGTATTAAACGTGCATACTTAACTTGGCAAATAACACTGAAAAGTTGAAATTCAACTTTGACACTCAAGAAAGTAATTAAATGCTTTGGAAATCATTGCAAGGAAAGCCTAACTTCCCCGGGGTCCTGAGGTCATAGCAGTGATAGGCTTGGGTCTGATTACAGAGGGCTGCCTCATGACAGTAACTATAATAAATCAAGTACTTTGTTGCAAGGGTAGTTGCCAGGGCTTCAGTAGTGAACCAAATCAGAGTTTTGCCCTCTGAAGTTTAGTCCCCATTGGGGAGGTAGCTACTGAGTAACATTCACACAAATACATTCCAGAACACTGACATCAGGAAGCAAAAGCAGAGGAAGTTTGGTCACAACACAATGTCTAAGGTCCATCCAAAAGGTGCAAGGAGCGTATGGAAGGGAGGGGCAGAAGTGCCTTCCAGGCCAAGAGCACTCCAGGCAAAGAGCACTCCAGGCCAAGAGCACTCCAGGCCAAGGCACTCAATTCAAGACAGGCACCATCTGCTTGAAGGACAGGGAGAGCCTGGCCGAAACACAGTGGCTACCATGAACGTAGTATGATGGACTTAGAGATGGGAGAGGGCAGGAGGCAGGTTTGGTTGAGCTCAAGGCACCAAAGGAAGTAGCTTGGCCTCAATTTAAAATATAGAAGGAGCCAAAGAAAAATTTTAAGTAATATGGATGTCATTTTCTTTTTCTTTTCATTTCTTTTCCTTCCTTCCTTCCTTGCTTCCTTCCTTCCCTCGCTCCCTCCCTCCCTTCTTTCTTTCCTTTCTTCCTCCCTCCCTCCCTCTTCCTTCCTTCCTTCCTTCCTTCCTTCCTTCCTTCCTTCCTTCCTTCCTTCCTTCCTTCCTTTCTCCCTTCCTTCCTTTCTCCCTTCCTCTTCTTCTAGACAAAGATTCATGTATCCAAGACTGGTATCAAAGTCACTGTGTAGGGGACTTTATAAAATTACATTTATTAATTTATTCATATGCCGTGGCATAGTCAGAGGACGACTCGCGGGAGCCACTGTTCTCCCTTCACTATGTGGACCCCAAGCATCGAACTCAGGTGGCCAGGCTTAGCAGCAAGCATCCTTCCCCATTGTACCATCTTAGCGACCCAGCCTTGGACTTCCAATCCTCCTGACTCTATCTCACAGGTGCCAGAAGTGCAGTCTGCCACCATGCCCAGTTACGGGATGCTGGGGTTTAAACCCAGGACTCTGTGCATGCTAAGCAAGCACTCTACCAACTGAGCTTTGCGTCCTGGCCTTTCCTTTTTTCAAAAAAAAAAAAAAAAGTATGGCTGCCACACTAGAAATATCTGAAGGGTAAGAGTTAAAAATTACTTAGTTTTTTTTAATTAATGTGTATGTGCCTGTGTGAATTTATTCTCTCTCTCTCTCTCTCTCTCTCTCTCTCTCTCTCTCTCTCTCTCTCTGTGTGTGTGTGTGTGTGTGTGTGTGTGTGTGTGTGTGTGTGTGTGTGTGTGTGTTTGTGTGTGTACCTGTGTCTGTGTCCACAGAAGCTAGAAGAGGGTGTCAGATCCCCTGGAACCAGATTTGCAAGTGGTTGTGAGCTGCTGCCAGATACGGGTGCTGGGAGCCAAGCCCAGGCGCTCCTCGAGAACAGTATGCACTCCTAACTGCTGAGCCATCTCTAGCCCTTAGGTCAGGTTCTCCAGTGAGGAGAGTGATGGTGAATGCAGCCAGTGCTTTGACCAGCGTATGTGAGCTGGAGGCTTTTTCACTAGTTATTTAGATATGATTATCTCCCTTTTATAGGTGAGGAGTCTGGCAAAGGCTACATTGATAATAGGAATGTAGATTAGAAACCAGATAGGATATCAAGGTCTTTTCTGGAGGATATGGGGAACATTGACAGAAATGGGGTGAGGCTGAAGTCCAGGGCCTCACGTTCCAGTTTACGGCTTTGCCACGCTTTGTGCTCTGTCATGGGAAGACCATGCACGAGTCTGTGGTGGGATCTCAAGGACCCGTTGCTACTCCATGGGAAAAGACAGTGTCCCCCAAACGGCTGCCCTAGTCTTGTCTGTGTTGCTGTGATAAAATACTCCCACAAAAAGCAACTTGGGGAAATTATGGTTTTTACTTCAGCTCACAATTCCAGGTTATATAATCCATCATTGTGGCGAAGTCAAGGCAAGAACTTCAAACAGCTATTCATATCACATCCACAGCCAAGAGAAGAAAAATGAATGCTTACATGTTTGCTTGCTTGTACTCAGCTCAATTTCTCCATTCCTGTACTGTTCAGGATCCCCTGCTAGGGAATTGTCTCACCCACAGTGGACTAGATCCTTTCAAATCCATTAACCCAACTATGACAGTCCCCCACAGACATCCATCCAGTCTGGTCCACTGCACACAATCTCTTATTTAGGCTCTTTTCTAGAATGGTTCTAGACGGTGTCAAATTGAAACCATCACATGGTCCTAGCTGTTAGAAAGGAAAAGAAACTGGGATCACGGCTGTTTCCTAACCCAGTATGACATCATCTCAGGACAGTAATGATTCAGAGTGGTCTCTCACACGAACCCTCTGCTCTCTTGGGTATAGTGGTTTCACTTCTTTCTAGTGCAAGTCGGAATATAGGATGTATAGGAAGGGGAGGCTGAAGTGAAAGCAGCCTCCTCATTGAGCTGGATTGCTTTCTCCTTCCTTCCTCCCACTGCTCTGAAATTTCCCTATCCAAAGGAAAGGAAATGTTCCGTGGAGAAACCTGACAAATCAGTGAGTCAAGACAGGTCACTCAGAGAAGACCAGGATGGTGTTACTACTGGGAAGGTTTCTTTAAAGCCTTTAAAGTGAGAGGCACTCAGTATTTTTTAAATTATCTTTATTTGTGTATACACACACACACACACACACACACACACACACACACACACACACACACATGCACGCAGACCATCTGTGTGCCTGTACCCAAGGAAGCCAGAAGAGGGCATCAGTTCCCCTAGAGCTGGAGTTGCAGGCAGTTGTGAGAAGCCTTACATAGATCCTGGGAACTGAACTTGGGTCTTCTGGAAGAGCAACAAGTGCTTGTAACCACAAAGCCGTCTCTCCAGCCCCATCCCTCTGCTGTGCTTTTGTGTTCCTTCTCTGGATATAGTGTTCTCCACTCATTTTCATACCTGCCAGGATGTGCTCCATCAGTCTGTATCACTTTCTTCCACACCCTCTACCTCTCAGAGGAGACAGAATTGTCTTCTTTGGTGCCTACCTGCTCTCACACCTGCACACCTTTGCCCACCTGTTCTTGCCAGTGACACCTGACGATATTTCAATTTGACCCTTGGGACGTAATTCAAGTGTTTATCTCCCGAACAGCCCACAACTAAGGCGACTTCATTGCTTTATCTCTTACTTGCTTATCACTTCCAGATCTGTTTCTCTGCCCCTTTCCTTAGACTGCTAACTCATTGGGAGCCAGGGCTGTGCTGGCGTCATCATCATTTTCCAGGGAACTATCCATCGCAGGTACTTAGTACATATTCTGTAGTTTGGATCAGTGCTTGCAAAATCTCCATGAACCACTTAAGGCAGGTATCAACCTGCTGAAGATATATAGGACACCACTCAAACTCCAAAGGTCTACAGAGCAGGGCAGATGGAACTCTGGGTAGAGATGTACAAACTGGCATTTCTGCTATTTTTGACCTATGGAGTAATGATTTACATAGCTTAGCCTAATGGAACTCAGACTGTTTTTGGGTAACAATTCTTCCTAAAGTATTTAAAGTAGCTGACCTGCTGGCTGGCTGGCCCATGCTCTGCGATCTTAGATAGACCATTCAAAGTATTCAGTTCAGAATGTCCCTTTATTTCTCTTCTTCCTCTCGAACCCCACTGTAGTGGGTAGCCATTCCAGCTTTGATCTGGAAGTTCTAACCCCCATTGAGGCTTCAGTAACTGTCACGCCTACAAGGCGGGGCCAAGAGAAGACCCTGAAGACCCGAGATCCAGATGCGCCACCTCGCTTGGTTCCTGGACCCTGGACGCTGGAGGTAGACCTAGCAGAGTTCTCCAGAGAACACGGCCAGACTGTGCTACGTCTTCCCCAGATCCTGCAACCTATTATCCCTTCATTTGTAAGTTACGCCACTAAATAAACCTCCCTTTTAACTACATAGAGTGGCCTTAATAATTTCACCAATACCCCACCTGATACTTTATGTATTTTGGATGTTCCCTATGTGGTGGGTGCGTTAATTCTGTAGTGATTTTGAATCTCTCTCTCTCCCAATGTGCTGCTTCCCCTTCTTGGGTCTTTCAGTGTCTCTATTAGATTTCCCATCTTCAAAGTGAGGTGAGTGCATTTCACAATGTGTGCATTGATTCCTGTCTCCCAGAATCCCCTTGCGTACCTGCACCTGCCCCTTGCTCACCCTAAGGATGCTGTCCTGGTCCTCTTCCATCCACTATTAGCTCCTGCACACAGGATGAGGCAGGCAAGTCTGAAGTGGTGTTTGCTTCATTTTGTTTTTATGTCTTCAGAAAGCTGGCAGTGCCAGAAGAAAGCTGTGTGTAATGGCACGAAGGGTGTGTGTGGCAAATAGACCTTTGGCTTTAGTTTAACTCTCAGGGGTAGAGCCAGTTTTTCTTCTACATTTAGAATAGGTTTTAAATAAAACTTAACAAATAAATACATAAATGACTTACAAAAATATCAAAATAAATATGAAATATCCAATGAATATAGTTTTGTTTGTTTGTTTCATTCATTTTCTCTTTTTCAATACCCAACCAGGAACACATTTTAGAATCTACACAATATAAATATAATTAACACTTGAATAAGTACCGTGTGACAAGTGTGTTTTACGTTGTTAAATATATAATATATATAATTAACACTTGAATAAATATTGTGTGACAAGTACTTTGCTAAGTGCTTTACATAGTTAACTTGGTCATCAGAGCAGTCTCACCAGGGTGGTACTATACTCTGTCTTATACAGATGAAGAAAACGAAGCACAGATATGTAAGTAATTGACCCAAGGTACAAAGGCTAAAAGCCCAAGCAAACACTTTAAGGAAATGGGTGGAGTGACTCAGTCTTGCTGCATTCCAGATCTCCCTCACCACCCTCACATCCCAGCAAACTTCCTCTTCCATTCTGAGCTTATGCTTTTCTAGGTAGCAAAGGGTTTTGCTCCTAAGAAAACAAAAACTAGAAGTTTGGAGATGTGACATTAGATCAATGTCATCTGTATTATTTGACCCCATGAGTGAAGGTCATACTCAAGATTCAGAGGATCATGGGATCTGGTCTCCATAGAGAGCAGATTTAACTGTATGGTAAAGAGAAATCTATATGCTATAGTTAGAAGAGGGAACTCTCAAAACATTTCAAGACAAAGACTCCTTTTCTGAAAAAAGTAACATTTCGTAGAACCCTAGTAGATAAACAAAGAAGCAAAATCATTGATTTATTAATAAAAGCATGGTTTCTAAGTTTAAATTTGTGTTTGGTCAATATAAAAGCAATTAGGCACAAAATTGTTTCCAGCACAATGGTGAATAGTTACCATGGAAACCTTCCTGACAAGAATGCTGAAACTAAAAGGTTAAAAGGAATAGGCCTGGGGAGATGGCTCGGTGGTTAAGAGCACATACTGCCTTTGGAGAGGATCTGGGTCAGTTCCCAGTTCCCACACATTGGCACACAACTGTCAGTAACTCCAGTTCCTGGGGACCCAACACTCCTCTGGTCTCCAGGGGCACCAGGCATGTATGTAGTACATATACATACATGCAAACAAAACATTCATACACATAAAAACAAACAAGTCTTTTAAAGAAAGAAAATCAAGCCAGGTAGTGGTAGCGCACACCTTTAATCCCAGCACTCAGGAGGCAGAGGCAGGTGGATCTCTTTGAGTTCCGAGGCCAGCCTGGTCTACAAAGCGAGTTCCAGGAAAGGCTCAAAGCTACACAGAGAAACCCTGTCTCGAAAACAAACAAACAAACAAAAAACATAAAAAAGAAAGAAAATCAAAGTTTGCATGTGGTGGTGCACAACAGTAATCCCAGAACTCTAGGAGACAGAGCCAGAGGACCTTGAATTTGAGGCCGGTCTGGGCTCTAGTGTCCAGATCAATGGCAAGCAGGCAAGCTCAGTTCTTTTCTAAAACTGTCCTTCATGTCCCAGAGAAAAGCTAGAAAGTTACATGAAGGGCCAAGGTTGGGGGAAAAGGCCCAGGACATGCCTAAGCTGGCGCTTCTCACAGGAAGTTGGTGCCTAGAACAAGCGCTCTCAAGGGGCTGCCCTCGGAGCAGAGGAAGGACCGAAACAGATAAAGGCAGAACAGTAAGAGAACAGCTAGGAAGCCTGTCTCAGCCACATCCCTTTGAGAATTTGTCTCCTAACAAGTCAGGTCTGTGTATATTGGGTCATCATACTGACCCTGCACTTTCTAACTACTGAACTAGAGAATTAAATGTAAACAGTTTTAGTAAAACAGTATCCTAAAACAAATGGGAACAGCAAACATAGAGTTTAAAGACATTAGCCAGACTAAAAACCACCAGCTATTCCATAGGAGTTTCAGAACAAATGAATAGTTTACAGTCCAAATCCACAAAGTAAGTAAGAGTTCTTATGAGGGTGAGAACTCATGGAGAAAAGGAGCTGAAAGCAAAGACTTCATTCGTTGGAACAATCTGGAAAGTCATGTGAAACAACTGCTTTTAATCTGTTTATCAACTATTCTCAAAGAAATAGAAAATAGGAATTTGGAACCTTGAAATAAAAACATAGCACTAAAACTAACACCGTGTCAGCTAAGCAGCAGATTAGACACAGGTGAAGCAAGTCCATTACCCAGGAAAGGTGTAAAAGTATTGGTTCAGATATGTCCAGAGATACAAACAGATGGGAAATGTGAAAAAGAGGGTAGGAAATTTGGAAGGTAGATGAGACAGTTGGCTGTGTGTCCAAAGGAGCAATATTGAAGATAGAATAGATGAGAACTTTTCAGAGCTTTTTAAAGATAACAATTCACAGATCCAAAGATTCCAAAGGATCTTGAGCAGGAGAGGAGGGGGAGGAAGGACTCCATATCTTGATTTGTTGTTGTTGCTGCTGTTGTTTTGTCTTTTTTCAAGACAGAGTTTCTCTGCATAGCCCTGGCTGTCCTGGAACTGGCTCTGTAGACCAGGCTGGCCTCGAACTCACAGAGATCCACCTGCCTCTGCCTCCCGAGTGCTGGGATTAAAGGTGTGTGCCACCGCTGCCTGGCTCATATCTTGATTTATTATTTGTGAAACTGATGAACATTTAAAAAGGAGATTATAATGTTAGTTCTGGAAGACAAAATATTCGTATGAACAAAAGCAGAGTTTACCATAGGCTTCTGGGTGGATGATTTATGTCTTACATTAGCCCCCAAACCTTAAGGTTGACACCAGATATTTGCAGAAGTGCTCTGCCATCTATTAAACACTACTGAGACTACAGGGATGGCCTCAAACACCTTGTTTTACTGGTGAGGCATGTTACAGTGAGCTGGAGTCTGCTGGACCCAGGACCAGAACTCGGGTCGTTCAACTCAACTCAAAGGGCAATTGTTGTGAATATTTTGCTCCCATCCTCCTGGTATTGCTTTATCATATTAAACAACAGCAAAGAAAAAACAAAATGTGAGGGAAATTACAGTTCAATCTATCAGGGAGGGTTTTTGTTTTGTTTTTAGTGCTATTCCTGTTTCGTGTATGGGATTTAATCACTGACCGCATTGCCAGTCTCCAGGAAGACTGCTCTGCTGTTCACCCTGTTCGTGGTGGACGGGAATGTGGCCCTGACTTGCTTCCTCCTTGTGTGCAAGAAGGTATGTAGATGGAAGAGGAAGATCGTAGACACGTGTTTAGAGCTCAGGCACAGAAAGTTTGGCACAACGTTGGGGGGAAGGCAGCCGAGGACAGACAGGAGGACAGACAGAAATCTCAGTGTATAGAAGGCTTTGCTGAGAAATTAATAGACAGGGCAAGGGCATGGCTTTCAAATCAATCAACTCTCTGAGGTAGGGGAAATCCAATTTGTTTCACTGCAGCTCACTTTAGAACTGATGTGGCTTGCTGTCTAAAATGTTTATACCATAGGCCCACAAAAAAAAGACAGTTTACAAGAATAAGGAACAGTGACTTCAAAATGTATCACACTGCTTATTCACAAAGAGAAAGTATCATACGCACTCATGACAATTTATTTCTAGTTCTCAACTAATTTACCACAGAGATATCCCACCAGGTTTGAAAACATTTGCAGTTGGCAGCAATACAGTCCAAAGAGATTTCTTAACTGAGGATGAAAAGTTGCTCACTAATGTAAGCCTGGAAACAGTACCGAAATTCCAAAGTCTTAGATGGGTTCTGCAGCATGCATGATTCCAGATCCAAGCTAGAATAACTTTTATGGCAGGGCCCTGACTTCCGTCAGCTTGTTTGCTGTTTATTTTTTAAGGGAAGCATGAGATTTTCCAGACTGTAACACGTTGGATTTGGGAGCTCAGCCTCAAGTAAAGTTCACTGTCTCTTTAAATTGATTCTCCCGTAAAGGAGCAGGCTTGTTTGAGTGGGCGGCATTTCTCAGTTACACAAAACACTAAAAAGAAGTTCGTTTTTCTCCAGGCGCTACAGGATTATGTTTAGAGACAGTAAAAGTATCCCTAGCTCCATTTGGTGCTCAGGATACTCCAAGACGCTTCTAGAACAGACCCTATGCACCCGTAGATGTCATTGAAAGGCATATAAAACCTTAGAAAACGAAAAGAACCAACAAGAGGAGTTTGGGAAAGGGTGAGGCATGTGTTTACAGAAATGAGGAAAGAAGATTCTAGACTTTAATGGTTAAGACCCAAAGAGGGATGCTCAAAGCAGTAGATACAATAGCAAAATTGCCCTGGTGGAAATGTACCAACTCCATTTAAAGAGTTTTCATATATATCAAATGCATGTCTGTGTTTTCAAGCCAGGCAGGTTAGTTCACATCTGTGACCCCAGCACTCAGGAGGTTTAGGCAAGAGGATTACCACAAATTCAAGGCTAGCATGAGCTACATTGGGAGTTCTAGGCCAGTCTGGGTCACACAGAGAGACACTGTTTTACAATAAAACAAATATGTATGTATATTCGGATATAAGTGTGTATATTTTCAAGAAGGGAAGTCAATTGCTGTTTAGTAAAGTGCTTGCTAATTAATTGTCCTCAGTGGGATGTGAGGGAGAAAGCTAGCTACCTGGATAGACTCCCTCCATAGCCAATCCATAGCTTGAGGTGCTTCAGTGTCGCATGTGATAAAGTGAACAAGGCAAATCATTTATTAACTAAATTGTACACCACTTCAACAGTGTTGTTAACTAAGAAAATTAGTGGGACAGATTATGATTGATTTGTAATGACTCGACAATATCCTAACTAATTTTTCCTAATGTATAATACCTTCAAAAGTCTAAAAATTCATTGTTCTTGCCAGGCAGTGGTGGCACATGCCTTTAATCCCAGCACTCGGGAGGCAGAGCCAGGCAGATCTCTGTGAGTTTGAGGCCAGCCTGGGCTACAGAGTGAGTTCCAGGAAAGGCACAAAGCTACACAGAAAAACCCTGTCTCAAAGAAAACAAAACAAAACAAAAAAAATCATTGTTCTTGTTTTTTAAGCTGTGGGATTAGATAACCTCCTTTTTTTAAGCTTTCTTTTTATTTATTCTTTGTGTCTTTCACATCATGCCTCCCGATCCCACCTGTCTCCCTCCCCACCCAGAATAAAACAAAATGAAATTTAAGAGAAAAAAAAAACAGGAAAAAAGGGGGCAGAGAGAAAGGGAAAATCTCGTTATGGAAGCTGCAGTGTGACCCAGTGAGTCACGCAGTAAACCCCTTTATCTGTACATTTTTACATGCAGGCATTCATCGCAAAGAATGGTTGGTCTGGTTCCAGGACCCTGGTCTCTGTCACACCATCGATTCTGGGCTGTCACTGGGACTGACTCTTCCTGGACATCCTGTTGCTGCCCCCTGTCATGGAACTCCTGCAGCCCTGTGACCCTCTTCTTAAAAAATAAAAAAATTCTACTACAGCAGAACATTGGAGCAAGGGTTATGACAGGCTCTCACTGTGTGGCCCAGGGTGACTTTCAGCCCTCCAGTTTCCACCTCCCAAGTGCTGGGGTTAAGACCCTAGACAGGCACACCCAGCAGGAGAACATTTTTAAAAGTGCTCTTGATCAACTGTTTTTTCCTCCGAAACACAAGTACAGTGTGAGAGCTTGCTTCTTTTACTAATGTTTTCTTCACTTATTAACATTGCTTCGCAACTAGGTAGTGGCAGAAGATTGCTCTGTCCCCAGACTCCAATGATAGGGGAGACTTGCATTTTTTTCCCCTAAAGTGTTTTTAATGCAAGTCTGGGGTGGGGAAAAAACCAAACAAACAATATTTCTTCAGACTGGCAGAGCATGTTTCCCCGTGAGGTATCAGAATAATTAAAATGAGAAAGGAAAAAAAAAAACCCCACAAGCATAGACAAGTTTGGGGTAGATCTGGAATTTTTATGTATAATTAGTAGAAGTGTTAATTTGCTACTGCCACTATGGAAAACAACGTGGCATTTCCCTCTAAGCCTCAACAAATGCACATCTTTGGTCCAGAAGTTCCACTGGAAAGTATGCACTCAATACTGAGACACAAAAGTGTTCACCAGAAGGTGCACAGGGAATGCTCTGAGCGGTCCTGGCCATCCATCTCTAAGTAGGGAATAGCACACACGTCCATCTGCCTTGTAACAGATGTGCTATGCTGCATTTATTTTGGGGAATTCTAATCAGTTATGTGAAGTTAAAACCTGAACAAACAACAAAACTGTGTCTTAGAAAGGCAGATGTTGAGGGAAAAGCAGGACATATTGTTCAAAACTGCACATGAATTACAGTTACGCATTGCTTAATGATGGGGACACATTCTGAGAAATACATCGTTGTGTGACGATTACACGGTGTAGTTACACAACCTAGGATGTCTCATGAGCCATATCAGCACTATAATCTTATGGGACCACTGTTGTGGTCTGTCATTGACGGAAGCATGATCACGCACAGAGGACCATGTATGGCATTGGGAAACATGATAATGGTTGCCTTTGAGATGGAATATTAGAGGGGTGAATGAGGAGACTTCTGGGGTCCAGTAGTCTTCTGATTGTTTACATAATTACAGAGGTTTGTGTAGTTCATGACAGTTCATGAAACATACAATTTGTTTAATTTTGTGCCATATTCTGTATATTTGTTAAAAATCAATAAAATGCCAGCTTCTTTGGTGTTAAGGGAGTGAGATCATCGGTGGATTCTAAAATACATGGATTCTACACTCACAGTTTTCTTGGTCAGAATTGATAAGAAAAATTAAAGTAATTCTTAAGAATTGTTATTTAGTTAACAAGGATTAAGTAACTTAAAAATAAATTTTAAATTTAAATAAACTATCTGAACCAATGTTAGGAAATAGTTGACGGGAAAGACAAAATCCTCTCTTCTGTTTGACCGAAGATGAGCTTCTGATACGCTTGATTAAACACTAAGTTTTCTGTCCTTAGAGAACTGAAAGGTGATCATATTAAAGGGGATAGCTGAGGTGTCTACGAGGCCATGGCAGAGTCCTTGGAGCAGCTTTCAAAGGCTTCAGCTGCCCTTCTTAGGTGTAGACATGAAGTCTTTAAAAAACAAAAAGCACTGGGTGGTGGTGGCACATGCCTTTAATCCCAGCACTCGGAAGGCAGAGGCAGGTGGATCTCTGTGAGTTTGAGGCCAGCCTGGGCTACAGAGTAAGTTCCAGATAAAGGCTCCAAAGCTACACAGAGAAACCCTGTCTCAAAAAAAAAAAAAAAAAAAAAAAACAGAAAGAAAACAAAACAAAAAAAAACCAAAAGGCTAGAGATGGCTCAGTGGGTGAGAACTCCTGTTGTGCAAACACGTGAGGACCTGAGTTTGAATCCCCAGCAGCCACGTAAAAGGCCAGGTGAGGCCACGTGTGTGCCTGTAACTCCAGCACCTTGGGGGACAGAGGCAGGAGGATCCCTAGGACTTGTGGCTCCAGCATCACTCTAGGTTCAGTGAGAGACCTCATGTCAGGGCATCAGGCAGAGAAAGTGATAGCGCTGGATACCCCTGGCCTCCGTATGTATGTGCACACACACACACACACACACACACACACACACACGTGTGTGCATACACATATACATACATGTGTGCGTGCAATCATTAGAATTTCTCAGATAAATTAGTTGATTTTGAGAGTTACAGAGATAAATTTTGTTTTTGAGAAAAAAAACTCTTTTCAAATATACATCATTCATGGCAATCTCATTTTTTAATCAGTCAACAGTGGGTCTCAGCCAGATATGATGGATCATTCCTGTAAACCCTGCTCTTGAGAGTCTAAGGCAAGAAGAGTATCATGGGTTTGACGTGAGCATGGGCTTCATAGTGAGCTCCAGGCCATCCTGGGCTACAAAGCAAGACCCTATCTCAAAAGAAACAACAACAAACAGGAACAAAGAATGCCACCACTGCCACCACCACACCGACATAAGATCCCAGTGTCCACATAGGCATAGACATGTGACCCAGATCTGACCAACGGAATGGGAAAGGAACTTCACCTGGAACGTCTGCAGAAGTTATACTCCTGTGTGGTGGGTAGTATCCCTTTGTTCTTATGGGAAAGTAAAATACCATGTCAGCATATTCACCAAAAAAGTGTGTATATATATGTGTATATATACATACACATATATATGTATATATATATATGTGTGTGTGTGTGTTTATATAAAAATGATTATAGGTATCATATGTGTATAAATCAAGCATGTTGTAGTTACAGATGAACAGATAATGACAGAATGACTTCTCAAGACTTTGAACTGGAGATAATGGTCCCTGGAGTCCCAGCACTTGAGGGGGCTCAAACAGGAGAATCATGAATCCAAGGACCAGTCTAGCCTTCATAGCAACAACCTGCCCTCGCCCTAAAATAGACTTTGAAAATCAAATTTCACACAGCCAGGAGGGTAAACAGGGAGTGATGAACATGAAACTCACTTCCTCAGGGGAGAAAGAGGCAATGGTCGAGAGACAGCCCGAACTGACCTACTCTGGTGATGGGATGGCCAAACACCCTAATCGTTGTGCTAGAATCCTCATCCAACTACTGAGGGATCTGGATGCAGAGATCCATGACTAGGCCCCAGGTGGATCTCTGGGAGTCCATTTAGCGAGAATGAGGAGGGTTTATATGAGCGAGAATTGTTGAGACCAAGGTTGGATAAAGCACAGGGACAAATAGCCAAATGAATGGAAACACATGAACTATGAACCAATGGATGAGGGGTCCCCACTGGATCAGGCCCTCCGAATGGGTGAGACAGTTGATTGGCTTGATCTGTTTGGGAGGCATCCAGGCAGTGGGACCAGATCTTGTGCTCATTGCATGAGTTGGCTGTTTGAAACCTGGGGCCTATGCAGGATTGTTTGGCTCGGCCTGGGAGGAGGGGACTAGACCTACCTGGACTGAGTCTACCAGGTTGACCTCAGTCTGTGGGGAAGGCTTTGCCCTGGAGGAGATGGGAATGGGGGGGGGGGGGTTGGGGGGAAGGTGAGGGGGACGGGAGGGGGGAGAACAAGGGAATCCGTGGCTGATATGTAGAACTGAATTGTATTGCAAAATAAATTAAAAAAAAAAAAAGAGGATCTTTTCAGATCATCGAATGGGAGGACTTTTTAAAGTATTGGAAACATTTTTTTTGTTGTTGTTAAAAAATGTTGTGCTACTATTTTTAAATTGTGTGTGTGTGTGTGTGTGTGTGTGTGTGTGTGTGTGTGTGTGTGTGTGCCACAGTGTGCTTGTAAAGGTCAGAGGACAACTTGTGGGAGCCGGTTCTCTCTTCCCACCTTGTTTCTGAGGCAGGGTCTTCCTGTGTCTACCTCCGTGTCGCAGAAGCAAACACTCTCCTTGATCCACTTCCCATCTCTCCCTGGAACTGCTAGGATTACAGACTGGAACCACCACATCCAACTTTCTACGTGATTTCCAGGGGTTGGACTGGGTTGTCAGGCGTGTGTGGCAGGGACCTTCACCCACTGAGTCATCTGACTGGCCCCAGCAGCATTCGCTTCTATGCTGAGCAGCAAATACATTGTACTGGAGTTTTTCTTCAGAATTTACATTTACATATGTATTGGTTTTTTTTTTTTTTTTTTTTGGTTTTTCGAGACAGGGTTTCTCTGTGTAGCTTTGCGCCTTTCCTGGAACTCACTCTGTAGCCCAGGCTGGCCTCGAACTCACAGAGATCCGCCGGCCTCTGCCTCCCGAGTGCTGGGATTAAAGGCGTGTATTGGTTTTTAATGTATGAAATGTTTCCTAATATAAAAGCTTCAGTTAAACATTTGCTTCATACACTGAGCTGTTGAACAGACATCCATTTCCCTCAGGAGCTAATATAACTCCCAAGTTAAAAGAAAAATTGTAAATACAACCAACATTAAGGGCAGGAGATGTGACTAAGCGCACTGGTTGCTCTCGAAGAGGACCTAGGTTTGATTCCCAGTAGTTGCATGGCATGTCACAACTATCTTTGACTCCAGTTCCAAGGGATACAATGTCCCTCTTCAGGCCTCCACCAGTACAAGTCATACACGCAGTACACATACACACAGGCAGACAACCACTCAGACCATAAAATAAAACGAAATGCATCTTAGGAAAAAAAAAAAAAGCCCAATAGCTGGGTGATAGTGGTGCACACCTTTAATCCCAGCACTTGGGAGGCAGAGGCTGGTGGATCTCTGTGAGTGTGAGGCAATCTGGTCTACAGAGCTAGTTCCAGGACAGTCAAGGCTGCCCAAGGAAACCCTGTCTTGAAAAACCAAGAATGTGGGACCTGTCCTTAGTGAATGGGCTGGCTTTTTGGAACCTAGAGCCTATGCTGGGACACTTTGCTTAGCCTAGGTGGAGGGAGGAGGGGACTGAACCTGCCTCAACTGAATCTACCAGGCTGAGCTGAATCCCCAGGGGAGTCCTTGCCTTGGAGGAGGTGGAAATGGGGGGAAGACTGGGGGGAGGGTGGGGGGGGAGGAGGGAAGACAGGGGAATCCGTGGCTGACATGTAAAATTAAATTAATTATAAAATAAAAAAAGAAAAACCAAGAATAAAATAAAATAAAAATTATAAATAAATAAAGCCCAACATCAGCACTTTAAAAATTAAGCAGAACTTGTCAATTACAGCAATTTGACTCAAAAGAATAGCTAACTAAAATGACCTAGCCAAAACAATCATGAAACTTCAAGTTCACAGTGGCATTCAAAAGACAAAAGTACAAGATGTTTTCTGATTAAAATATGATTTCATAACGCCTTTATTCTAAAGTTAATTTAAATGTATCAATAGATACAGGAAAGGTCTCCCGTGTACAAAGGCTATCATCACTTCTAGTGTAGCTTTTATGGGTTTTCTCTTGTGTTTGTGATGTCCTCATTGGAGGGCAACAGAAACACTCACGTTGTAGAGGAGGCCGTTAGAGGCTCTGCACAGCCCCGTGTTTCACAATGCATTCACCGCCACACCTTCCCACGCCAGCTGGCACAGTCAAAAGCCAAAACAAGAGTCCCTCCCAGCACTGGCGTTCAGCTGCCAGGCTTCATAGACTTAATTGTGTAAGACTGGCTCTCACTTCTGCTTGTCCCCCTTCTTGGGCATCTCCAGCTGCCTCCTAGCCGTCTGTTTTCATTGTTTTTACACAGGATTTCCAGTGGGCTCTGTCTTGGTTACTAGAATTTGGGCTGAAGTGAAAACGTTAAGCGAAAAAGACTGTTGAACATTGGTCTTCTCAGAGGTGAGACTATTGAACAGCATCGTGCACTGAATATTAGCTAATGATCAGACACGTGAAAGCTGAGAGTCTAGGGGCTTTCCACGCATAGATAATGAGGGAGCCAGTGAACGAAGCATCCATCCACACCTTAGCTACTTCATCCCACAGTCTAGTGATGATGCATTACACGTTAACAGAAATACCACTTAGAGGTCTGAAGGTGCACCAGCATGGTGTGACAGACTTCACAGGCTGCAGCAGCTCTCTGTGGATCCCTGCCTCCGTGGCTCTAAATGGGACCCTGAGCAGGCTTGGTCTTCCTGACCTAGTTACTGGGTTTGCTGTGAAAACTACTAGGGGAAAAGACTTTTAAGTACATCTCTTCTCAAAGCTAACAGAGAAGATGTTCCCCTGTTGTATCAGAATACTAATGGCCTTAATGCATCTG